GGGGAGAGGGTTAGAGAGAAGGGAGTAGGGGAGGAATGGAGAAAGCTCGGTTGACCGAGATGGGGGGAAGGGAGGAAGGATGAATGTGGGATCAGGGAAGAATATATTTCAACTAAGGGAGTCATTTTAGAGTTTACAGGAAACTTGATTATATATGGGATCCCAGGTCCAAGGAGAGATCCCCAGATTGTTCTCTGGACAGAGGAGGGGGTGCCTGAACCGGCCTTGGCCCGTGACCATACTGATAAATATTTTGCTTATCACCATAGATCCTTCATCTGGCGTTGGATGGCGATACAGATGGAGGCCCGCGTTGGAGCATCGAACTGAGCCCCCCAAGATCCAAATGAGGAGCCGAAGAAGGAAGAAAATGACGAAGGACTGCGAGGGATACTATCACCCACTGATACAAGGGGTCGGATCTAATGAGAGTTTACCAAGGCCAGATGGACCGTGACTGAATGAGCATGTGATCCAACCAGATTCTCTGAATGTGGCCGGATTTTCTGAATGTGGCTGGCCTGCAGTCTTTCTGAGAAGCCATTGACAATGACACTGGGACTGGTTTCCTCTGCATATACTGGATTTTTGGGATCCAGTCTGTTTGGATGCTCACCTTCCTGGACCTGGAGGGAGGGTGGAGGAACTTGGACTTCCCACAGGGCAGGAGATCCTGACTACCCCTTGGGGACAAAGAGGGAGGAGGAGAGGGAGGGGGGGAGTGTGAGGGCGTTGGGAGGAGGGGCGTAAATGGAAACTTTTTATAATTTAATAAAATTACTTTCAAAAAAAAAAAGGAGCCTTCTTGCTGTCTGCAACTCTTCCTAAGCATAGTTCACAGGCCCAGAAGAAGACCCAAGAGAAGTAAACATCGCACCGCCAAGGGGCGCTACGTTTGGCTCCAGCCCAGTCCACAGTCATGGTGTCCATTTCTCAGTAACCAAAAATCTTTGACGAACCTGCAAGGGTCCACGTAGTTCTCGCCTTATTCTAAGGTCAGGGATGGAACCCAGGACTTCTAGTAATTCTAGGCAAGCTCTAAGAGTCCCAGCATCAATGGTCAACACTCTACTTCTTTCCACGTTTTCAGCTTTGCAGCCTTGAGCTCCCCATGCCCTTCTACTCACACCATCCCCTCCAGATGAGACACATTGGGGTGTCTTCCATCCCTGCAGCCACTTTGCCTGCGACCCCTGTCTGGCTGTGTCCCCAGAGTGATGGACCCTTCTCTAAATTATTCACAGTGAAACACATCTCCTGTCACCCAAATGTTGTGGGCTAAATTGTATCTGTTCCCCAGAGTTAGATGCTCATGTCCCAACCCTTAGTATCTCAAGATGACTGACTATATTTAGAAACAAGGTCTTTTAAAAGATAATTACAAAAAAAAAAATGAGGCCACAGGGTGGGCTCTAATCCAATATGTGATGTCATAAGAGGAAATTAGGACACCTGTAAGGAGCTACGTGAGGACACAGGGAAATGGCCGACCTCAGAGCTGGAGATGTGGCTCAGCTGGAAGAAAGCTTGCCTAGCACATGCTTGAAGAACTGTGTTCATCCCCAGCACAGCATAAACTGCATGGTGGTGCTTGGCTGTAACCCCAGGAGTAAGGCAGAAGAACCAGGAATTCAAAGACATCCTTGGTTATTTAACAAGGCCAACCTGGGGCTACAGGATACCCTTCCTTGAAACAAAATAAAAGATGGTCATCTACAAACCAACCAAGCCAACACCCTGGGTAAAGACCAAGTTTCCAGAGCCATGGGACAATAAATTTCTGTTAAGTCATGCAGAGTGATGTGCTTTTATTTATTTGTGTGTGTGTGTGTGTGCACGTGTATCTGGGTTCACACTGAAGCCATGAGCGAGCACTGAATTCCTGGAGCTGGAGCTACAGACAGTTGTGAGCCACCCAGAGTAGGTGTTGGGAACCAAATTCTAGTCCTCTGTAAGCAGCAAGCACTCTTAACCTCTGAGCCGTCCAGGCCCTGGGGATACTTTTTAAGTTGACCCTAAGGAACAAATATATCTCTACTAAAAGCTCTGAGAAGACCAGCAATTCAAGTCTACAGGCATACCTTGGGGTTGGGCTGGTGGGGATGTGTTTGCTGTGTTTTAAATGCTTGCTCTGATTCCTGGGATTGTGGCTGCAAGTTACACTTGCAGTAGCTTCTGGAAGGTTGCAGGGAAGTCAGGATTCAGGCTTACTCTACCTGCTTCTATTTCTGGGGCTGGAGAGATGCCTGTGGTTAAGAGCACTGCTACCCTTGTAGAGGACCAGGTTTGATTCTTATAGCCCACATGGCAACTCACAACCATCTATAACTCTGGTCCCTGGGATCCAACACCCTACTCTGACCTCTGAAGGCATTACATGCATATGCACAGACATACATGCAAGCAAAACATTCATACACATAAAATAAAAGGAAACGTTAGAAACTGTTCTATAATTCTAAAGAACTCTAGTAACAATGGGGTCCAAGCCCTGCCGCCCCCTCATCTGCAGCTTTCTGCTCTCTCCTCTGCAATCTGTCTGCTAAAATCGGACCCTGGGTATTGGCTGGGGTTTCCAGCAAGTTAGCCAGGGCCTTATAAACTTGCAGCCAATTCAGAACCTACAGCCCAGGTTCTCGAACTTCACGACAGCTGACAATGTGGCTGGGGGCCAGGGAAATGTTCGGAGCAGGACAGTAAAGAATGGGAGGTGTGCAGCGCAGGACTGGCTCAGTACAGCCCCCTCTGGGAAGCAAACGAGGTGAGCCCCGAGGGAAAGACCAAGGGAGGAGTTTATTTCTCTGGAACCGGTGAGCACAGAGGCAGGGGCTGAGTCAAGGCAGGGCCATGTCCTCCAGCTTCTGATCCAGGGTCTTGAGGTCATCAAGGAAGCGGGTTGGAGTAAGGATGTGAGAAGAGCCTGGGCAGGAGGGCAAGGTTGGGGAGGTAGAAGTCCCGCCTGGGAGTCAGTTCCTCCTGGCTAGTGTCCTGGCTGTTGAGAGCAATTTCCTGCCCCTCTGCAAACCAACGCCCTGTCCTCTCAATGATTCCGGATTCCTGAAGTTTAGGAACATGGGTGCCCCAGTCCCAGGTGCTTACTCCCCTGGGGATCCAAGCCCCAGCCCCTTAGAGACCCCAGACTCCTGTCCCAAGCCCAAAAACTTCAGAGTCTAATCCTAGGCCTTTCGGGACTCTCGAGTTCAGCCCCAGACCCTCAAAAACCAGAGTTCAGCACTGGACCCCAAAGGGCCTCAGAGTCCAGTCCTAGATTCCAAAAGACTCCAGAATCCAGCCCCAGGCTTTTAGAGACCCAGAATCGAGCCCCAGGCTCCAAGAAAGCTCAAATGCATCCCCAAATCTTTAAGGGTCCCCATGTCTTAGGCTTTTTGGGATAACAAATCTAATGGAACACTCCAAGGGACCCCCCCACAAGTACAGCCCTAGACACCAAGAGTTCCCAGAGTCAAGTTCCCAAGGACCCCAGTTCTGGCTACTCACCTATAAGAACTTCCCACTTGCCTTCAGTAGCCCTGGTCACTTCATAGGCAGCCCTCATTTCAGACATGGCCACACCACCCACAATGTACACGATGAGCCTGGGCCCAGCCCGAGCCTCGATGCCAGCCTTTTTGTGCCAGTGGCCAAAGCGGGCACTGCTGGGGTGATGGGCAGAGGTCAGTTCAGGCTGGTATTTCCAGTCCCCACCCCAGGCCTCTCCAGGACCCTCACCTGACAGCTGCCTGGGAGCTAGGCACAGGGGTAGGGTCAGACACAAAGGGCCACAGCTTTCGGTCCAGCCGGTCCTCCACCACATCCTGGGAGGCCAAACAGGAAGGGTTAAAGAATCCCAGCCAGTGGAACCCAGGAACTGAAATGGCCTGGGCCACAGCCCCGCTGTCTATACTTCCTTGTCTCTTGGGGACCCAAGAGTCCAAGAAGCCAAGGTGCAAGGTTGCTGGGCCCCCAAGCAGGAAGTACCAGAACCTTCCAAAGACTGGAAACAGAGGCCCCAATATACTACTACTTGATGTTGAAGCTTAGGGGTACCAGGGTGACCAGAGGCCAGCATAAGAAAGGCTTTTCTAGCAAGGCGTTCCATTGAGGTCCCAATTGCTGGGGTGCAGTTTTGCATGCCACCCTCCCCACAGAGCAGATAGGGTGCCAGGGGTATGCTAATAGTGAAGGATTTTCCACTAAGCCCCAAGGCTTAGCACTGAGAGCCTGGGTGGGTGGAGTGGAAGGCTTAGTGGGTAACGGGATCAGTAGAGAGGAACAGGGCCCCCAGCATGTGTACCTCCATCACATCTTTGATGACTGGGGACCAGCGGGACAGCTGGTAGGTGGGCTCCATGCGCTCCCTTCTCTCCAGCCGGCTGGAGGTCCCCGAACCCTACAGATGGGGCCAGGTGGGGACGGAATGGGGTTGGGAAGGGAAGGAGCCCATCACAGATGGGAAGGGGCTACAGGTGCACAGAAAGATGGAGGCATGGAGCAGAAAAAGACAGAGAAGCAGTAGCAAAATGACAGAAAAACAGAGACAGAGAGACAGAGACACAAAAAAAGCAGAGAAAAGACAGACAGAATTCGAGAGATACAGACAGGCAGAGGCAGAAACAGAGGTAGACAGAGACAAGATACACAGAGAAAGATGGGAAGATAGAGAGAGATGGGAGATGGATACAGAAAGACACAAACGCAAGAGACAGATAAAAAAGACAAAGAAAGAAAGAGACAGACAGAGAAAGAGCATGCAGACATGGAGATACAGAAATGGACACAGAGGCAGAGAGACAAAGAGTAGGAATGCAAAAGGAGACAAAAGAAACAGAAATGGGAAGGGAGAAACAGAACAAAGAAAAATAAGGAAGATGGAAGTCAGGTGAAGGATACAGAAACAGCAAGAGGCAAGGGACGAGCCAGGCATGGCAGGTCACATCTATCATCCCAGGAACTTAGGAGGCTAATGCAAGGGGATGGCCATGAATTTGAGGCCAGTCTGAGTTATGGACTGAGTTTAAGAGCAGCCTTAGCAGCCAAGTGGTGGTAACTCATGCCTTTAATCTCAGCACTAGGGAGGCAGAGGCAGGTGGATGTCTATGAGTTCAAGGCCAGCCTGGTCTACAACATGAGTTCTAGGACAACCTGTGTACACAGAGAAACCCTGTCTGGGGGGGGGGGGAATCAGCCTTAGTTTAGTTGCAGAGTGATCTCAAGGCCAACCTGAGCTACATAGTTAAAGCTGCCTCAAAATAAAAAGAATGTGTGAGAGACAGACAGACAAGAGACAGGGGGAAGGACAAGGGACAATGTCACAGGCCTGTGGTACAGCAGAATCAAGCAAAGCTGGACATGTAGGTCAGGGAGAGACAGACCTTAGAGTAGAACATAGGAAACCATCATGCGTGTTGAGTGGGGGAAGAGGCTTACTGTGGCCCCCAAAATCCCCAGTTTGACCTTGTCTCCCATTAATGGGAGCCTTGAAAGGCTCAGGTCACACACCCCTACTGTACCAGCACCTAGGGGGCTCATTTCAGCTCTGCTGCCCACCATGTTAGGGAACTGGGGAAGGCCTTGGTTCTCTTGGTCCCAAAAAGCCATGCCATGTTTCTACACTCAGGCTGGACATGCATTATCCCTAATCCTTCAAGGGCCAAGCTCCATGGCTCATCAGCTAGCTCCCCACATACCGCAGAGTTGGTGACGGTACCCCCCAGCTGCTCCAGATTCCGGATGATGTTGCTGTGGTCCTGCACGTTGGCATGCTGAATCAGCTTGGCCAGGTTTTCCTCAGTCACACCTAGGGAGAGCAACAGGGTAACAGCAAGTGACTGGTGGCATCCTGTGTGAAGAGATTTGTAAAGAGATCTCATAGCTAGGACATCTCCAGAACCCAGAAGCTTCTAGTGTTCATAAAAACGAGGAATTGTTCTACCCTGAAAAGGAAGAATGGGCGAATCTTCCAGAATTAGTTGAAGAAAGCTGGAGAGATGGTTGAGTGGGTCAGACTGTTCGCAGCACAAACATGAGATCCTGAGTTCAAATCCATAATGCCCACGGAAAAAGCTGGGTGCGGCCACAGAAGCAGGAAGATCACTGGGTATTTCTAGAGCCCAGCCTAGGTCAGGTTCAGGGAGAGACCCTGTTGCCGAGACTTGAGACTTGCGGCCTGACCTGACGAGAGGCAGTGAAGAATGAAGAAACAGAGACACTAAAGAAATGACAGGCACATGTACAGGTCAGACGGACTGTGCACACTCGTAGGGAGTGGTACAGTTGCAAGTTTTTGCCCACATTGGTCAATTGTTTGGATCAGGGGAAGGCTTTGCCATTCCAAACCTGACCCAAGGAAGGTTTTGCCACCCCATAGATCTGAAGCAGTGGGTCCTTGACATGGCTGTGCCCATATCAACAATACACATCCATTCATGACTTCCTCAGCTTCCTCACAGCCTGTCTCAAGGGAATAAGGCAGAGAATGATACTGGTATTCAGCAGAACACCCAGTGTCATACTCCGGTCTTCCCACATGCATGCAAAAAGACCTGAATTCAACACCCAGTAGTCAAATGCACCTGTTACCCAGTGCTTCAAGGATAGGGACCAGATGGTCACAGACCTACTTGACTCCAGCCCAACACAATATTCAGGAGAGACCCTGTCACAAAGGAGTACGAGAGGAACTGAAAGAGCAAGGTCTGAAGTCCTGCTCTGGTCTCCCCCATGAGCACATAACACATACAGTGGGCACGCATGCCCCTACACAGAATCAGTAGAGGGACACCAGGTCCATGGAGGCCACAGATGGGGAGTCTTTTCTTGGCTAACTTTTCTTCTTTTCATATTTGTACACATTATGTGTGTACATGTGGGTATTTATCTGTGCATGTGCATGTGGATATATGTAAATGTGGAAGCTGAAGGCTGAAGGCCATCACTCTTCACCTTGTTTTTTGACTCTCTCATTAGCTTGGAGCCTGCTAATTTAACTGGACTAGCTAACCAGCAAGCTCCAGGGGTCCACCAGTCTCTGCCTCCCCAGACCCTGGATTACAAGTGGGCATCACATGGGCTAGAGACATGGCTCAGCAGTTAAAAACACTGGCTGTCCTTTCAAAAGGGTTCCCAGTACCCACATAGTGGCTCACAACCTGGACTACAACTCCAGTTCCAGGGGATCTGATGCCTTCTTCTGGCCTGCACATGTACTAGGTACACACATGACACACAAACATACATGTAGGCAAAGCACTCACTCGTATAAAATAAATAAATAAATCTTTTAAAAAAATGATTAATTAGAACAGGTTGGCCTAGGGACAAGACTGTGGGGGATTTTCTTAATGTCACAGCTGAAGTGGGGAGGCCTGCCTGCTATTAGTGGCACTATTCCCTGCGGAGGGATCCTGAACCATGCAGGAGTAGAGAAATAGGGCCGGGCACAAGCACGTATGCACCCATTACTTTCAGTTCAACTGTGGATCTGAACAACTGCTTTGCGCTCCAGCCACCCTGATCCCCCCTCTATGGTGATGTCTCTCTTAAGCTGCTTTGGTCAGGGTATGTTGATGGAGGAGGGTTATCTGTCTATTGTGTTATTTTCATTGGTCAATAAAGAGACTGCCTTGGCCCTTTGATAGGACAGAAAATTAGGTAGGCGGAGTAAACAGAATAGAATGCTGGGAAGAGGGCTATGAGGCAGACGCCATGGAGCCAGCCACCAGGTCAGACATGCTGAATCTTTCCCGGTAAGCCACTACCTCGTGGTGCTACCACGAGATTATTAGAAATGGGTTAATATCAAGATATGAGAGTTAGTCAGTAACTAACTCTCTAGAGATAATGGGCCAGGCAGTGCTTAAATGAATACAATTTGTGTGTTGTTATTTCTGGGACTAAGCTAGCCGTGCGGGAGCCGGGTGAGGCGAAAAGCAGGCCTGCCCGCAGCCCCTCACTACAGATGGCGCCCACGTGGATAACTGCATCCACAGAAAGCCTGAGAAAGTTTGAGAAAGAATAGAGTAAAACATGTTTTCTTGGTGGCAGCAATTTCTTGGTTCTACTCTGCTTGCTAGAGGCAAGCAAGCACTCTCATCTAAGAGAGGCTTTCTGACTCAGCTTTAACTGCAAAACTTTGTAGCTCCTTTAAGAGGTCCTGCCACGAAACACTTACGGTGTTGATCAAAAGCTGAATGCATGCTTTTCGGTTTTCAGCCATAGCAGGAAAAAAGCTGCGCTGTTTTAAAATGCCGGCTTTCTGGACTGTCCTGCCAGGGCAATCTCTGACTCTTTCAGGCAGGCAGTCTGACTGAGTGTGGTCTGTGAGCAGAATGCTCCAGCTTGCTTGCTGGCACGGACCTTGAAATGCCATAGAGTTGTGGCAGTAAAAGGCTCCAGTGGTACCTCTACCATGAGTCTGGAAAGCTAAGAAATGGACTGGATCTAGCCGTCAAAGCCACGGTTTTAGACTTATGTGGTCAGAAAAAGAGAGATATACAGTAAAAAGAGATTCAAAGAGGAAGAAAACCTCTAAATGGTTTACTATGAGTTAAAAATATATGCAGGTTAAAAGGTTAAAGTCATTAAAAATAAAAAAGAAGGGAGATATAGGGTGTGATGGTACACACCTTTAACCCCAATGCCTGGGAGGCAGAGGCATGTTGACCTCTGTGACTTCAAGAGACAGAGGTAGAGATTGACCTCTGTGACCTCAAGGTGTGGTAGTACACGCCTTTAATCCCAGTGCCTGGGAGGCAGAGACAGATCTCTCTGAGTTCAAGGTGTGGTAGCACATACCTTTAATTCCAGTGCTGAGGAGGCTGAGACAGTGGGATCTCTGAATTCAAGGACAGCCTGGTCTACAGAGTTATTCCAGGACAAAGATATACAGAGAACCAGTCTCAAAAAGTAAAAGTAAAAATATAAGAAATAGAGGTTAAAGTAAAGCCACATAAAGATGGAAAATAAACAGAGAATCTTGATACTGTATGCTATTATGCTCTCTTTGAATTGTCTGAATGCTGAGGAAGGAGCAACAGCTGCTAAAAGATATTTGTTTATAAATGCTGCTGAACTAATCCAAGATAGATATGTTCAAAATACCTTGACTTCTGAATTTGGATCTAAGGATATGATACTTTGGAAAGGAGGTTCTTCTTTTGTTTTCACAGAGGATGAGACCCTGTGGATTGCTTCTATCCCAATATGGTATGATAGACTACGCCCTCCTGAAAGGTTGCTGTGAACACCCTCAAAAAATTACTTCATTCAACTATCAACTGAGACGAAGCTAGCAAATAGGTTTACTGTGAAAGACCTGATTAACAGCGCCCCTATTCAGCAGGAAGAAGTTTGGAGAGAAATAACTACGTCCATATTCCCAGATATTGTTTATAAATGTTCTTTTACATTTAAAGGGGGATATGGTATAGATATGAATAATTTGCTTTGTTATGGATTTTAAGGTCAATTTTGTTATGTGTGTATATATTTCTGATTTTGATTGTGTAGTTCATTTAAAAATGCAATGTATAATTAAAAATATAGGTTGTTAATGGATAATCATCGATAATAGTCAAGCTTGTAGTAATGTTAGTCTGATTTTCTAGAAGTGCATAGATATATTTCAGATAGACATCCATATCTTTCAAAGACTACAGAACATGGCATTTAATGTTTGAATAACTTAGGACAATGAGACACGTCTGCTCCTGGCAGCACCAATCTACTTCAAGAGGAAGATGGGCATCGAAGAGGCTCCTTATGGAGTTGGTTAGCCATTTGGGCAAGAAACTGCTCTTGCCTGGACTGTTGTATAAACTGGACACAGAGAACCTGCAGAGAGAGGACTGCTGAACTTGCCTAAAGGTGAGATGATCTTTCGAGGTTCTTGATTCATGAAAGAGTCTGCGAGACATTCTGCAGGACAAGGCAGATAGTGACTGAACTGCCTTTGAAATTTCCTGCTTCATGGAAATGTCTCTGGATATTATGGGCCTGAAGGCCGAAGATGGGTGCCTCAACGATACAGAGGAACTTTGGGTGACTGTCCAGGCAGCAAGATGTCTCTGTCATTTCTAGAGTTTTGGAAGTTGCTTACTTCTTGTTTACTTAGGTAATATTATATCCTTCTGGAGTCTTTGATGGAGTTGAAGAATGGATAGTCATAGTTATAGTTTTCCATTATTATGATAAAGATATAGTTATAAATATTGTGACTATAATTCTTCCTTGATAACTGTTTTGTTATATGTAATTTTACTATGTTAAAATGAAAGCCTTTCTTTTTTGTTTAAACAGAAAAAAGGGAAATGATGGAGGAGGGTTATCTGTCTATTGTGTTATTTTCATTGGTCAATAAAGAGACTGCCTTGGCCCTTTGATAGGACAGAAAATTAGGTAGGCGGAGTAAACAGAATAGAATGCTGGGAAGAGGGCTATGAGGCAGACGCCATGGAGCCAGCCACCAGGTCAGACATGCTGAATCTTTCCCGGTAAGCCACTACCTCGTGGTGCTACCACGAGATTATTAGAAATGGGTTAATATCAAGATATGAGAGTTAGTCAGTAACTAACTCTCTAGAGATAATGGGCCAGGCAGTGCTTAAATGAATACAATTTGTGTGTTGTTATTTCTGGGACTAAGCTAGCCGTGCGGGAGCCGGGTGAGGCGAAAAGCAGGCCTGCCCGCAGCCCCTCACTACAGTATGTTATCACAGCAACAGGACAGGAAACTAAGACAGCGTGCTACGGGATGAGGGCCTTGAGGCTGCAATGTTTCTAGGACTTGCGACTGTCCTTGGCCACCCCCTCACCCACCGTTCCGAAGAAGGATGTAGAGCAACAGCACCCGGATCTTGTTGTAGGGTGCCACCGAGGCGTCCAGCAACACCGGGACAATCAGCTTCATGGCGTCCTTGATCTTCTCACCCTCGGCATCAGAGCCCATGGCCAGGTCCTGCATGGCATGAGAGTCAACTGTCTAGTCAGCTGCTGGGGAGGCGGTGGGAGGGCGGCAGAGCAGGGGCAAATCAGGGACTTTGGTAAGATGTTCCCACCCTGTCTCCTAGAAACGGGTCTCCTACAGCTCATCTGACAGAGCACAGGCCATGCCCTCTCCGTCATCTCCAACTCTCACTCAGGTCTTGTCTCTAAGCACAGCTCTACCTACCTCTCCAAGACCTTCCCCAGGGCCCACAGCTCACCAAGATGCCTCCTTCCCAATCCCGTCCCTCCACAAGCTGGCTGTAAACCCTCTATCTGAAGCCATGCCCTTCCCTAAGTTCTTCCTCCCAGAGGGCCCCAGGCCTTGTGTGAGCACCCCCTTGCTACTCCAGATTTGCCCCACGGAGGGCCCTGGCCACCTCTTTCAGGCTTCACTCCTCCCTAAGTTCCACCTTGTGGGGAGCCCCACTCCTCCCTAGGTTCTGCCTCCTGGAGGGCATCCCTCTGAGGCCCCACCTGTTCCACACTGCACAACTTCTCCACGGAGCCTTTGAAACGTTTCATGCAGTCGTCTGCTAAATGCAGGTGTGTAGAATACTGCAGGGCAGAGACTGGGTTAAGTGACACCATCGAGTCAGACATCCGGACTGAGCCCGGGGCTCGACTGTCCAAGCTTACCTTGTTCAGTTCCTTCTGATACTGAGGCATCTTTTTCAGGATGTGAGACAGGTCTTTGATATTGGCCTGAAGTAGGGGTAGGAGATGGTAGAGAGAGTAGGGGTGATGCCAAACCCCTGCCCTACACCAGGGGAGGTTCCACGCTGGGCTGAGGACACAGGCTGAGGCTCTGTCCCACCATGGACCGCTACCTTGTCTGTGGTCAGCCGCTTGCTCTCACAGAATGTCTTCAGCAGCTCCGTGACCTTCCTAGCCATGAGCAAGGGCAGGGGAAGAGAAAGGGTGCTGAGATAGTGGAGGAGGGCCTCTTTCTGCCAACTGATGGAGGACACCTAGATGCCTGGACCAGTTCCAGCCGTGGGTGTGCACTAGGGTGAAGTGCAGTTAGAAGCAGGACAAGGGTCCCCCTGAAGAACGTAACTTACAGGGGGACAATCATGAAAAAGGAGGCCCGGACGCCTGAAGCCCTCCCTCTAGCACCCGTGCTGTTCTCTCACTTGGAAACATCCGCTATGTGCATGTGTCGAAGCTCCACCCACAGGTCATCATCTTCATCCAGGAGCACCGCCTTCTCCCGGGACTCACTCAGTCCTGTGGTCTCATACCTGGAGGGACAGGACATGCTGGAGGACGGGAGGGCCTAAGCTGACAGAGGAAGAGGTGGGAGGCATCTTCCTGGATTTGTCTACCTGTATGTGTCCTGCTCAATGTCCAGAAGATCATAGGCCATGGCTTGGAATGTGAGTTCATGTAAGAGCGGAGACACGGGGTCTGCTGCCCGGTCCATTATGAGTAGCTGTGAGCGTGTTTTCTCTGGACCCTGGGCAAGAAGAGAGGATGAAGACACTGACTGTGACCCTACAAAGCCTCCCTGGCACCCCCCTCAGCAACCCCCTTACCTCGCCCAGACTGGGAGTGTCTGCCTTGAAGGCATTCAGCTTCTCTAGGACAGCATGGGCCAGCTGGGCTGTGTCTTCTGGACCCCTGGAAGTCAGACATAGGGGCATCAGGATATGGGGGTTGGGATGACTGGGCACAGATAGGGGACATCAAGGGTAGGGATGAGGATGGCAGGTAGGGGACTGGGTGAGGATCAAGTTAAAGACTGGACACAGGAGCCAGGGAGATGGCTAAGTTGGTAAAATGACTGTCATGCTAGCATGAGGGCCAATTTCAATCCCCCAGAACCCACATTTTAAAATTGTGCTTGAATTTGCAGTTCTGGGGAGGTGGAGACAGAGGGTCCTTGGGCCTGGCCTGCTAGTCCAGGCAAATGCAGAAGCCCTGGGCCCAGGGAGGAACCTTATCTAAAAAACATGGCTAAGTGGTTAAAGCCTCAAACTGCTCTTCCAGAGGGCCTGAGCTCTGCTCCCAGCACCCACATCCAGAGGTTTACAGCCACCTGTAACTCTAGCCCAGGAGGTCAAGCACCCTCTTCAGGACTATGTAACAACCCTCACATACACATACATAAACATATAAATAACTTTGTTTGTTCGTTGTTTGTTTTGAGACAGGGTTTCTCTGTGTAACAGCCCTAGCTGTCCTGGAACTAGCTCTGTAGACCAGGCTAGCCTTGAACTGCCTCTGTCTCTGCCTCGTGAGTGCTGGCATTAAAGGCATGTACTACCACCGCCCAGTTTTTGGGTTTTTTTAATCTTTAAAAAAATAAAGGTGGGTGGTGACTGAGGAAGACACCTGAGGTTGACTTCTGACCTCCATACATACACACATGTGCACACACATGAAAACATGCATACACACAGAGAAAAAATGGACACAGAATGAGAGTAAAGGTAAAAAGGTAGCACTGGGGTTGGGGAGGGGATGGGTCCCCACTTGCGGTAGCGAATGGATGGGTATTCCTGAAGGGTGGCACATAGTGTGGCTATCTGCTGGGCCAATGTTTCAAGCTGCCGTGTCCGCTCCCCTGCCCGGAATGGGCAGTAAAGGTTGTAGGTGCTGTGTGGGGCATCCAGAGAGAACACCTGTGGAGGACAGAAGTGTCATGGCCACACTATAAGGGATACCCCCAACCCAACTTTCAGCTGCTGTCCCTGTACCTCCCAGGGGCCTTTGCTATTTTATTGAACCTGTTTCATCAGCTTTGAAGCTGGCTAGGGTAGCAGCTATGTTGAAAGGGAACAAAGACAGCTCATTGTTCGCTCTTGCTTCAGGGAATGAGACAATTCTGCCTGTACTCCTGGCCACCTGTTTGGAATGCCCAAAGGGTTAGCACTCCAGGCAAGGGCCTGCTAATTGTTCACTCCTTGTTGGTGCTGTCTGTTCTGGAGGGAGCTGGGCCATTTGGTCGAGGACAGTCCATCCCTTCCCCACCACAAGCTGGGGCTGTACCTGGGCCTCATACGGGAGGAAGGCCAGGTGGATCTCCTTCAGTGTCTTCACCACCTTCGCCAGACGGGAGCGGCCCAGTTCACTGAACAAGGGCTCAGGGCATGCTGGGGTTGAGAGAGGGACCATCAGACCAATGTTCTGTCACCATAACCCCCACCTCATCACAGCACCCAACACCCCTGGTTCTCCTCACTCACTGTCAGTGAAGAAGACATGGGCTGCTTTGTAGGTGAAGGTCGGTGTCCCCCGGAAGTCTGCAATCAGGGCCTGAACCGACTGAGGAATGCAGATTTCTGTTGGAATCAGACCCTGCACCCCAGACCTAGCTTCTGCAGGGAATCCTCAACTGATGTTCATCCCCCACTATGTACAATTATGGAGAGGGGGGCTCACATACACACATACATTGACACATGCATGCATTCTGACATATACACTCATGCACACACACACACATACATTCTGACATGTGAATACACAAATGCCTACAATCTGATATGTGTACACATACAAACACACAAATTCTGGCATGTGCACACACATATATGCACAAATACATACATTCTGGTGTGTACACACTGACATGTGCATAAATGCACATATGTATATGCACTGGCATGGGCATACACACATGCACATATAAACACATACATTGGCATATGAATACACACGCATTGTGACGCATGTATATGCATGCATCACATATGCACCCAAATGCACAATGGCATGTGTATGCGCACTCAGATACATGCACTGACATGTGCACCTTGCAAGCACACACAAACCCATGCACATGGAGGCTAACTCCTATAGGCACCTTCTCCGTGGGGCTCAGTAAATAAATGGCCTCCAAGCTGGGAATAGGTTCTCGCCGTTTGTTGATGTCTTCCACAACTAAAAGCAACAGAGGAAAAGACACACATAGGTGGCATGGGGAAAGAGACAGGGGAAGTCTCAGGTTTGGGGAACTGGACCCTTGGTGGGGGCGTTTTAAAGGGCTGTACTACTCCCTTGAATCCCTAAACAGAAATAAAGACCTAAGGTTCCCCCACTTAAAAGAGCTACAGTCAGAGCTCTTTCTGCACGTCTGGAGTAACACAGCCATACTCTTGGAGTCTATATACTCTTAAGAACCCAGAGTTACTGGGCAGTGGCGGTGCACACCTTTAATCTCAGCACTCAGAAGGCAGAGGCAGGCGGATCTCTGTGAGTCCCAGGACAGCCAGGGCTACACAAGGAAACCATGTCTCAAAACAAAATAAGAGAGAGGGAGCCCAGAGTTCATTCAAACTTCTTACAGAGATACCTGTAGGAGGTGCACAATCATTGCTTTATTTGTTTATTTGAGACAGGGTCTCATGTAGCCTGGGGTGGTCTTGAACTCACTAGCTAACTTAACTTCTGACCCTCCTGAGTGCTGGGATTATAGGCATTTGATACCATGCCCATTTTATATGGTGCCGGAGACCGAACTCAGAGTTTTATTCATTCTAGGCAAGCACTCTGCCAATGGAGCTACATTCTCACCCAGGGCACTGAGTTGGTTACAGTCAATGAGGCTAACCCTTAAGGGTTGCAATCAAGAAGTCCAACATGAACTTTCATGCTCAGAGGAGGCACTTGGTCATATGCTCTGGATTATGTAGGGAGAACTATGAGCTGAACCAATCTGAAGGGATCCCATACTCAAGGGCTACACCCAAAGGTCCCACATTCAAGGGCTCGAGTTCTATCTGGGGAACACAGGGGCAGGCATCCACTCACTGGTGATGCCCTCCGCCAGGATGTCTGACATTTTACAACAGGATGACAAGATCCTCATGCTTGGATGGTCCATGATGAGCACCTGTCCAGATGGATGGACACACAGACATAGAAAGACATAGAAAGGTGAGGCAGGCAAAAAAAAAAGAAAAAAGAAAAAAGCCTGTAGCTGGTTCTATGAGGATCCAAGGCAGTGGAGCACTCATCTACCCAGTCCAACCCCTGGGGATCAACAGCTTCTTCGAGGAACTCTCGAGGGGACTATCACATTCTGGGGTTCCTGCACAGACTTAGGTAAAAGACTCCCTCTGGGTATCCAGACATTCTGCCTTGGCTCCTACCTTCCACTCGCCATCCTTCTTAACGCTCCGGATGACTCCACTGAGAATCTCTACAGGGAAGGAAGAAGGGGAGAAGAGGGCTTGGGACACTCATCTTCTGGGCTGGGCCCCAACCCAGATCCTGAGCGGCAGCTCCTAGCATCACCCCCAATTTACAGATAGTCAGACTGAGGTTCTGTGAGGTTGGATAACTTAGCCAAGCACCCTCATGTCTGGATGGTATAATGCTCAGAACACAGGTAAGATTGGAGTTCTCTAAGATTAGAGAACTGAGTGAATGGAAGTGAAGGTCTCCTGGTTCCCTTAGACTAGAAGGCTTGGTCCCCAGCTCTGTGGGTTCTTATCCACATCTAAGCCTGTTTTCCCCATCTCCCATTAACACTTATGTAGGGGAGGTTCCTCTCTAGCACTGAGGTACTACTGGGCCTTTCCACGAAACCTGTTCTGCCCAGAGGCAGGAGTAGGGGAAAGGGGAAAGAAAGGTAGCCTTGCCCAGAGCCTGGCCAGTGCACCAGAGTGTCAGTCCACTGTTATCAGGACGGAAGAAGCAGCTGAGGCCGGAACTACTGGAGGTGGGGGAGGGGATCCTCACACCCTCTTCTCCCCACCAAGAACCTGAGCCTGAAAGGCGAAGAAGCCAATCCTCAAATTGCAATGAGCTGCTAGGCACGATGCAAAAGGGAGAGCGTCCCCTTCTCCACCCTCATGGGGAATGTGCACACCACCTGTGTACTCATACACTACTTGGGGTCGCTGACCAAGGCACTGTAGGACTCCGGAGCCCGGTCCCTGAACTTTCCGGGTTAAGACACTCGACAGCCTATAGCTGGAGCAGACCCAGAGGTCTGTGTCTCTCTTTCCTTGATCCTTTGAGTCCTTCGCGTCCCAACTTTGCTCCTCCGGCTGCATTTGAGGGGTGGGCAGCCCAGCTGGGCCCAAGTCCCCTGCCCGTCCCCTCAAGAGTCAGGTGCTCTCCCCACCGTCAGGGTCCTGGGATTCCAGAATCCGTGCACCGCCCCTCTCCCGAGGCCTCCAGCCCCCCAAGCGACAGCCAAGGGAACACCAGAGCCCCGCCCTGGGGTGACACTCACTTTCCCCCACCACCGCCTTCAGCCCCAAGGGCGCCATCTTCCCCCAAGGAGTACGGCCGCTTCCGGGTCGGTCCCAAGGTGGGGGCGTGGCCCCGCCCGTCATCCATGTGGGCCCCACCCCGCGGGTTCGGGTCACGCCCCCTGCGCACCTGGTCCCGCCCCGTGGTCATCTGGTCTCTCCCTGCCTCCAGGAAGTTGGGTCCCAGCAGCAGCAGTTTGACGGCAGATTTGCACTGGCAGAGGCTCAGACGGACAATCCCCAGTTCGTGTGCTCCCTCGAGGACTCCTTCATGGGAGTCTAAGTGCTCTCTTATTCACACACTTTGAGATCAGTTTGCTCAGCGGGCAATGGCAGAGTAGTAAAGAGACCCATCTCACCTGGGTACCACTGTACAGGTGGTAACCCTGTCCAGAAGCTGTTCCGTCTGTGATAAAGTGTGCCCACCGAAAGGACAACGGGGCCTTCTAGATCTGGAACTGTTACTACTGCCTCTATAATCCAAAGACTAGTAGCAAAGATTGGACAAAAGTCGGTAGACTCCGGAGGCCTGGAGACCCCACCGCGTACTAGGTACTTTTTCTCCTGTTTTCTCACAGCCTTAACATTCTGTGGGAGACCCGTGCTGAAACAGGAACATAGTCTTAAGGTCTGTGACCATATATCTGTGCCTGCTCATGAAGAAATGCTTCCCAGTCTTTTTTATTAGCATATATTAATTACACATGATAATGAGCTTCACTATGATATTTTCATACATGCATATATATGTATGTTGATCATTGCTATCCTCATTCCCCCTTATGCCCCATTCCGGATGATCCCTTTCCCCTTCCTAACTAGTCCCTGAAAGAGACTCCCCCTCCCGGCACAGTAGGGGACAGGATTAGGCACAAGCCACGTCCAAACACCTGTTTTCACAGAGAGATCCTTTATTAAGCAGGGAAGAAAAGTTAAAGTGACTGCACACTCAGGCAGAAAAAAAGGCAGCAAATGACCTTGTGGGCGTAACTTTTCAGAGGAGAAAAGAGGGAGGTCTGTTAAAATCTGCTAGAATGCAGTGACATATTTTGATTGGACATGTTAATTAGGTGAACCAAAGGGGGCTTTTGATTGCTGGACTTTGGTACTCATCCTCAGCAAGGAGCCTGGCACAGGAAAGTGTCCAAATAAGGAAACAGACCTTGGTGGCTAGCTTTAGGGATGTAATCTAATGATTTTTAGCAAGGCAGGGGGAAAGGGGGGAAGGGTAAGGCCAGACAGAGCCACATGCTTGAGTGGACTAGCGTCCCTTCAGTCACCTCTACCTACATGTGTATGTGTGTCCTGATGGGTTTTTACTGGGGTTGCTTACAGGAGCATCAGCAACTTACCAGTGGCTACATCGCTGAAAAAAAAAAAGTCTCACTCTCCTTCAGTTCCAATAGCTCAGAAAAGAATGAGACTTGTTGAGCCTGTAACAATCATATGCACCCCAAATTCCTCCTTCCTCTCCCCCATATACCTCCCAATAGACAGCCCCCTCTACTTCGTGTCTTCTCTTGCTTTGTTTTGTAGCCCACTGTGTCCAGTTAGTGCTGCTTACTGGAATTTTGACTGATAGTGTTGGCATGATCTTGTGCAGGGGACACCATAAGTGCAGGGAGTGCGTGAATGTAACAGCCATGCCATGTCTGTGTTGTTCCCAGACTTCTCCCCCACCCCACAAAGAGACCACCAGGGAACCGGAACTTGGATGCAAAGAGCCAAGTTTATTCCAAACAAGCCTACACACGAACTCTCCCTTTCACATGTATCTTGCTCTGTCAGTTAAACCTTGTAATTCAAGAGTCACCCAGATAAAAGACTAAAGGGATCACGAGGAACAGCTGAGACTAGAGTCCCAAAGAAAGAACAGTTGCAAGGATGGACCTTAACAGTTTTAGAAACCTTGCTTTTGCATCCAATTCCCAGTTCCCTGGTTGTCTCTTTGGTGGGCAAGAAGTCTGGAAGCAGCGTTTCTCAGCACTCCCTCCTCCTTTCACATTTGTCACCCCCTCTTCCACAATGCTTCCTGAGCTTTGACGAGGTTCCTAGTTCTTTTAAAAAAAAAAAAAAAAAAAGCGTGTTGGGGGTCACGGCGACAGAGCATCAAACCCCGGATCTCATATGTACTAGGCAAGCACTTTACCACTGAGCAACAACTCCAGTTGTTTGTCACAGTGTTATCTCAAGAACCACACACACAGGGTGACAATTGTATCTGTGTACTGATATATCCATGTGCAGATTCAACGCTACACACACACACACACACACACACACACACACACACACGGGTGGGGATCAAATTAATCTCAGAATGTCGGAGCAGAGCCTGCTTCCGTCGTTTCTCTAGAGAGGAGCTGACACCCTGTGACAGAGGGTGCGTCGCCCATAGACACGAGGTTGCAAATCTAACAAGTGATAGTTGTGGATGTGGACTTGCTAGTCTGAAGTAGTTTTTGACGCATAAATCTTCCAGATGGGGCTGCGAATGGAGCTCAGTTGGTAGAGCACTTGCCAATCATGCACAAAGTTCGGGGTTCCAACCCCAGCACCACTTAAACCAAGCAGGGTGGCCCACACATGTAATCCCAGTGACGTCTAGAGCCAGGAGGATCAGGAATTCAAGTCCATACTTGGCTACATAACTGGTTAGTGAACAGGCTGGGCAATATGGCATCCTGTATCAAAATAAATAAATAAATAATCCTATAGAGACCGAAGAAGGGTTAGGGTGTGAGCTACAAGTAAGTGTGAGAATGATTGACAGGAATGGGAAGTGACAGGAGCCGGAAGTGGCTGGCAGGAGTGGATAGTGGGTAGCAGGAGCGGGAGATGACCACTAGAGGCCAGGAGTGCTTACAGAAGCAGCAAGGGGCAGTGGCCAAGCTTCTTAGGTCAAATTTGAGTGAAAATGAGGACATGACCGCTCCAAGGTATGGCTGAGAAGGATTTTATTGTAGATAGGAGTGGAAGTACAGCCAGAAGCCTCTAGAAGAGTCCAGGGCAGAAAGAGAAAGTGGTAGATGAGTAGACCAGTAGACTGAACCAGGCCATGAGATGAGAGACGGGAAGAGCAAGAGGAAGAGAAGAGAGAGAGAAAGAGACAGATGCAATTAGACCAAGAGAGCTAAGAGCAAGTCAGAAGAGAGCTTAGGACTTCAAAGCTGGGGGAGGGAAGTGAAGCCCCTGGACTAGAGAGGCTTAGGGTAGGGGGTGAGGTGAGAAGAACAGAGAGGATTCAGGGATACTGAGTAAGTCTGGCGGCCAGAGTGTGCTTTGGTGCGCCAATAGGCACCTCAGTTAACCGGTTTGAGACCTAACACTGAGTTTCTTTGAGACCAAACAAAACTAAGCCATCCCTCTTTAGTGGATTTCTCAGGTCACAAACCAAGATTTACAATGAGGAAAATCCTTTTTTCTATCTCTCTCTACTGAAGGACTCCAGTCCTCTTTTTCATTTGAAACGGGGTCTGATTTAATTTCCAGGCTGACCTTGAATTTGAAATCCTCCTATTGTAGCCTTCTGGGTAACTGGGATTACAAACCTGCATGCCCAGGACCAACCCATAAGATCTGACATGTAGAGATGAACAAGGATGGTCAGCCACCCTATGTAGGACTTGGGGCCCTCCCTTCTTTATTTTTCTTTCTCCTGTCTCCTTTTTAACAGCTTTGCTGAAAAGTCATTCACTGGGCCAGTGAGAAGGTTTGTCAAGGAAAGGCGCTTTCTACCAAGGCTGACAACCTCAGTTCAACCCAGGGCCCCACATGCTGGAAGGAGAGATCTGGCTCCTGAAAGCTGTCCTCTGACCTCCACATATGTGCCATGACACTCACCAAAAGTATATAAATTAACGGCTTTTGGCACATTAAAGGATATACATCTATTGCCACAATCCATTTGTTATTGTGTTAAGCCTAAGAATTAGGAGGAGAAAAAACAAGTCCACAGTTGTCTGTGTTAGGTTTCAACCCTGGGACAAATGACTGAGGTACCTATTTAGCAAATCAAAGTGGACCTGGCCATCAGGTTCTCCCTGCATCCTTCAGCCCCTATCTGTTACTGGGCCCTCCCAGATGGCGTACCCCACCCCCTACCCTGAACTCTCCAGCTGGACTGCCCTTCCCTATATAATCCAACCATTTCAGTTACCTGCCCTTTGGACCTTTGGGCCTCCTGACAACCGCAGCAGGTTCTCCTCTCTCCTCTCTCCTCTCTCCTCTCTCCTTTCCCTCCACCCTCTCCTCAAATGGCAGAACTCAGTCTGGTCACGTCCACTCTGGATTCTCCCAGATGTCCCTGTCCCTGCCCCTGGCTATGCTGTCCGCCATATCTACAACAAACCTTCTCCTCCAACATACATAGGAGCAGTCGTGTTTCCCTTCTTTTCCTTTTTATATCTTTTTCAGTCTGATTAAAGCAAGATGTTATTTTGGGATGTGCTGGGGACTGGCCCATTTGACTGCTTCTCCCAAAATTGGGATTTGAGAGAGTAACCCCTGCCTGCCTTTGAAGTCCCTTTTACAGAAGAGATAAAGTATCCACAAGGGCAAGAGAGTTGACTGTTACACATTGTTAGAAAGATACTATGAAAGGGAAGGAATTTGGCAAGGATGTACATCATGTGAATGGGGTCACAAGTTGAGTGTAGGTTTAGAAAACATGCTTTGCAGAAACAGGAACTTATTCTTAATTATAAATAGGAACTTGCTTTCAAGGACTTAAACACAGGACAAACAAGCACTTATTCTTTAACTACAAACAGAAACTTTAATCTGCACAGGACAAACTCATTCTTAATTGTCTTAACTGCGGAGAGAACCCTTCACCTGCAAGCTATATTTTCCCTGTTTTGGTTTCACATTAACTTTCAAGGTATATTCCTGTTTCAGTCTCGTGGTTGTTTGAGACTGGGTGTCCTCCTGTAACTCCAGCTGACCTGGAGCTTCCTATGTAGTCCAAATTGACCTTGAAATTGAGATCTTCCTGACTCGGCTTCCTAAGTGCTGGGATTACAAATGTGTATCTCAAAGGAAGTGGACAGTGTTTGTGAGAATGACCAGGGAGCTGTCCTCTGGCCTGCACACTCTTGTATACACAAATGCACCTGCAGACATATGAATATGTGCACACACGGGTTTTTAAAAATGGCCTTAGTCAGGTGGTGGTGGTGCACGACTTTAATCCCAGCACTTGGGAGGCAGAGGCAGGCAGATCTGTAGCGCAAATTCTAATTGGTCTTAATAGCAAAACCCTGAGTCAGATATCGGGAACTGCTGTAAGAACAGAAAAAAGAAAAAGAAAAAAAGGAGTCAAACACTAGAGACTGTTTTTTTCTTTTTTCTTTTTTCTTTTTTCTTTTTTTTTTTTTTTTTGC